CGCAAACATGTCCTGGGGTGTGAAGATCATGACCCTAAAACAGCTTTAACAGAGAAACTCACCTCTGATCCATTCCTAAGAAGCATGGCTTGGTGGAACTTTAAAGAATACCGAAAATCATTGAAAACTTTACTTTTGTCGAGTTCTGCAAAGACCCAGTTAAAGCCCAGTGATCCAGAGGATCAAGAACTAGGAGGGCAAAGTGCAATACCAAATGTTTTCAATTTTTATAATTACCTTAGAAACCATCCCCTTATTCTGAGGCACAAGATAACGTCTGCTGCACCATTAGCCCAGAGGAAAGGGGTCATCCCAGGCTTCACCCACCAACAAACAATCATTGAAGAACAAGACTCCCTGATGTTCATTGACAAAGTCACCCCCATAGAAAGGCGGCTGTTCTTTAGGACTGCTCACACTCATTATAAAAATGGCTGTCCTCTTCTGGCACTGGAAGTGTTGTCCAAGCTTCCTAATATAATAACAGAGGAGGATATAGAGAGTGATGAGGAGGAGGAGAGTGAGACAGATAAACCACTACCCCAGCCTATCAGTACAGGGACCTTAGTGGGAGAGGACCATATCAAAAACAAGGACTCAAACCCAGGGTATGATTGGAGTAGCCCCTCAGTTAATGGAATGGTGAATGGAGAAACAGCTGATGCTTTTGATTGGTCAACACCAGTCAGTGGAAAGCAAGATAGGGGAGACTCTTTTGATTGGGGAGCTCCAGTGTCCAGATTTGACTTAGAGGAGGAACCCAAATTCACCCTCAGTTCTGGGGAGAGTGAAGTGGAAAGTGAAACTGAACACCACCCAGAAGAGGAGGAGAAGAAGCCCTCTCAGAGGGGTAAACTGCAGAAGGTCCCAAATATTGTTGTGGATGATGCTCTGACAAATGGACATGCCGAAGTTTGTTCAGACAGTAAACCTAGTCACAAAAGTCAGATAGACATTTTTGCACAGCAATACAAATTCATCGCCTGCCTTAAGGTTTTAATGGAGGAGATGAGGACACTTGCCACAGGATTTGAAGTGGATGGTGGACAACTGAGGTAAAGTAGAATCATGTTCAGGATCATGCTTTCTTTGTTTTTGTATTTCTGTGATATTTCTGTAGCACTAAAAATTTTGTGATGATATGTCTTAGGTTTCAACTTTACATCTGGTTGGAGAGAGAGGTTGAGGTACTACAGTATCTGTGTAACTATGGAGAAGGTGTTCTATTCCCAACAGACAATCAACAAGAACAAACACAACTATCTTTTGAAGGTAAAGTATGCTATGTGTCTGACATGATTTCATTTTTAGGGGACAAGGTTGAATTTTTAAGCATATCTTTATATAATGTGTTGTCTTTGTATTGCATGTTATAAATATATATAAGATCAGAATAATGGGGGGCTAATAGGCCATTCAACATCAAAATATTTTGCCTGATGAGAAAAAAACCCAGTTACTTTTGATTTACTTTAGATGTAAATATATGAAAAAATATTGAAAGAAGTACATTAATGCCATTAAGTATAACCATAACACAGCAAAAAGGCCCTATGATTTAAAATGGAATAGTATAGCAAGAAAAGGGATGTGATGCATAAATACTAGTGAAAAAAAACATCTTTTTACATCCTTTATAATTATTAAGCAAGGGATCATTAAAGAAACAAAGAATGATAATAATATTATTTGCTTTTAATGTTGTTTAAGGATGCAGAAGTCGGGAAATGATATCTAATATTTATTGTTGTTCCATGTTAGACTGTGTTGATCCAGCGTCCTATATTGAACTGAGTGGTATGAAGTCTCAAATCAAAGCTTGGCTTCTCTAGCAGTGTCAACAGGCTTTTATTTTGCATGCCTTGCATTTTATTTAAAACTTTACCATAGTCTACGAGTTCCTATAAATTCTTATCAATATACAAATATTTTATTTCTGCATTGGTGTTAAGGAAAACTCTGTCCTATGGTTTCTCCATCCTAAAGAATTATAACAATCCATCTGAAACAATTGGAATTATATGTAGCATTAATATTTCTGTTTATGTATTATGGAGTTGATGTATACTTGTACTTCTAAAAAATCTTACTATTGATTATTAATCTTAAGAAATTTAATTGCATAATTTGTGAAATGCATCAAAACTGCTAGTACATGATATTGAAGATTCGTGAACCTAGCTGCTATGTTCTTCAATATATTTTTACAATCTGTAGTTTCCTTGTCATATTTCCTTAGGCCCTGTGCCAGTGAAAGTCAACTGTGGCTAAAAAGCAATTTCTTTTAGTTTTCTTTGCTAAGTTATTCAGTTTGTTGGCAAGGTTTAAAAAGTATTTAGTTCTACTTCTAGTGCCTTATTTAGCTGTGATGTAAAGTGCTTTTAGATACATGTTACACAAGTATTTGCTTAAGAAATATTAACAGTTGCTAAAGATGAAAAATGACTTTGCAGAAATCTACATTCTGTTCAATAAAAGGCCAAAAAATTAGAGAAAAAAATCACAAGCAATAAATGATCCTTTGATACATTAATATGATTGTGTTAGTGAATGGGTAAGTTGTGAAATCTTCCCGCTTCTGCTTAACATGCAAAAGATTCTAACAATGTAAAAGTCCATGCACAAAACCAGCTTTATACAAAAGAAACAGAACAAACAAAATTATTTTGTACATCACTGAGGCTCTTAGTGTAAAGTTTAATTGTATATCTAATGTAGTGACACTGAAATGACTTACAAGATGACAAAGTCTTTTTAATGTGTTGTTTTTAACAGAGAGCAATGCCAGTATACTGGACGCCTCAGAAGAAGTCAGCTCATTCTTACTAGATGCTCCAAGCAGAAAGCTTCACAGGTCACTATCCATGCGTTCTGACTCCTCAGCAGTGTCCGTTAAACCAACCCTCCATGAGGTCATTCTGGCAGAGAAGATGGACTTTGAAGCTAAGCTGGAGCGTATGTCTCGGAGGAAGCAGTGGCTGAAGATGCACCACCAGCTGCTACGGACACTGGCCAGTTACTGTATGTTACAGGGCTCAGGAGGGGGTGGGCTGGCCTCCGTCCAGATGGAACTGTTGCTGCTATTGCAGGCAAGATTATTTATGATCAAAATTATTTTTACTTTAAATTAATTACAATATTTTCTATTGAAATGATATAAACATGAAGAAGAGATTTCAATTTGTGTGTCTGCAAAAATTTTTGAAAATATATACTGTAAATGTATTACATTTGGCGTGTACGATATTTGGCGGAAATTAAATTTTCAACAAGTTAGCATAGATTTGATTTAGCGCTGTCTGAATCTGCTAGTTATAAAAGTTAATATACAAGACATTTAGCGATGGACTTGAATTAGCGGACTCAGCTTTCCGCCAAAATCGCTAAATAGAATACACCGCTAAATGTAATATGTTTACAGTATTCTTTAAATGAAGAACAACCTAGTCTTATATTCACCTCCTGCCTTCAGAAATTTTATAAACATAGCTGTGAAAGGTTGTCATATTGAACTTGAATGGCTTTTGGTAGAGTTGAACCAAATATTTTCTGAACAGGAACACCAACAAGAGAGGCCTCAGCAGCAGTTGTTTTCCCCCTTACCATTCCCCACAACTCTCCCCCTCCTCTCTGCCAGCATTGCCAGCTCTAAGACAGTGGTGGCCGACCCCATTAAACACATACAGTGTATGACCCAGGATCTCCTCCACTCTGTGATAGAGATGACAGCACCGCCAGGGATCAGCAGTGCTATAAACACTATACTGACAATGCGGAACCTCAGTCTGGCCCTGTCAGCCTGTGTGTACCAGTGTCTGTGTGACTGTGATAGTTTTGTGGTCTCCCTTAATGAGACAAGTGATGCCACCCTGGAGGGATTTACTAGGTGAGATCTGGAGGCAGATTTTTGCAGCAATGTACATGTTTTTACACTATATTCAAACAGTTGCTCTCAAACCAGAATATTTTTGACATATTTTATGAATTTTCTTGTGTTTATCTGATGGTATCTCGGTTTTGGTTGCAGTCATAATTTTACCAGTGCTCAAGCAGGTCACTTAATGGCAGGTGTTCAGAGGTATCGACGGAAATCGAGTGCTGGGGATGAAATCAACACGTCTCCAGCTGCATGGCCAGGTTTGTTCCTTTGAGTATCTTTTATATGAAAAGAAGGAACAGAACTTTGGTTACTCTTTTCTTATATGTACAGTGTACAGGTATTAATTATCCCACATTTTCATAGCAATGGTTACTTGTAAAAAGTAATTCATGAGCACAGAAATATGAATTTTCCTTTCATGAAAAAAATTCTTGATTATACATGTATACATGTAACTATATGGTGCTTCTATGATTGCTAAATCCCAAAATGAATATTGCATCATTGGTTTTGAAGGTGTTCATGGATTACGTGCGATGTTGGCCCGGGAGAAGGATGATGATGCTCAGAAACTCCACATTCTGCTGTGTGAGACGTTAGTATCTGTGTATGTCAGTCTACTGGTGACTGCCCTTGCCACATATGACTGCAACATGTTATACCGGCTCATCGCTCACAGATTCGTCACACAGATGTGGTGTGCTTTGTTTGGAGGAGGGGCAAGAACAGTTCTCAGGGTGTCCGATTCTCCAGTACCTTTAAGTAAGGATAATTCTATCAAGGTTATAAAATGAATTGGAATTATTCATATTTTAATAAATCAAATTCAAACAATGTACATGTAGAATACAATTTCAGCACAATATGCATGTACATTGTGTATATTACTAGTTGCTGTAACTATAATTGTTTGTTAATGAATTTTTTTAAAGATCTTCAATGCTTCTTGTGCATTTAGAAAAGGTGTAAAAAGAGAAACAAATTGAAAAGCAATAAATTTCACTGAAGTAGAAGTTTTTATGTCAAAATAAAATAACTCATTTAAGAAGAGCAAGTAGGTAAATTTGTTCTATGAAATACTTTTCAATGTAACATTGTACCCAGAAGGTACAGATGAGGTGGACAAGCAGCGGCTGAGGCTGGTGAAGAAAGTGATGGGGGGAGGAAGTACTAGTGGAGTCTCATTGAAGGAGAAACCAGTCAAGGAGACATTCATACCCCCAGAACTCAGCATGGTCACATTCTTCATGACAAAGGTATGTCAGGAATGTAACATCTTCTGAAAAGTAACTTTTTTACTGAAATTAAGGCATGATTTTTTTTTTTTTTTGCAAATGGTTAAGGCTTCAAATTTAATTCACTGCTGAAAAAGTAAATTCAGGTTGATTGGATTTGACTACGTAAATAATGTCATTGCTACTGTGTTCAAATAGCTCACTTGCAATGGTACAGTGTATAACTGTTCAACAAATTAGAGATTCTAGATGTAGCAAAAAAGGAAATAATTTATCTATATTCTGTTTAACATATATAATTTTATCTACTGCATGACATCTGGTGAGTTGTAGGCAAAATATAATGCGCATGAAAATGAATATTACTACTGCTTTCGGATGGATATAAAATATTTCTAAATATACCTTTCAGCCTTTTACCAGTCCAGCAGAGGGGACATTTGAGTATGATTCTGAGGATTCATTGTCGTCAGAGGAAGAATCTGATTATGAGTCAGAAGATGACACTAGATTCAGTTCTTGGTAAAGCTGAGAAAGGGAGAATTTTAAGAATTTAAAATAAAAATAAACATGTATTTTTGCTGAAAGTAGAAATATGTCAACTCTGCATATTTAAAAAAAAATTAATCCATTATGCAATTTGCATTTTAACGTGTTTATGGTTTTAATTTTTTTATGATAATATTTTTGATAAAAAGTAAATGAACAACAAGTTAGTGTTATGTGTAAGCTCTGTATGTTACAGGTCCACATCAGCTGTTCAGCAGCACACAGATCCAACTTCTTATTCCTATTGATTATATAGTGAATATGCATTAAATCTTTGAAAATCTTCTTCTCTGCTCCTAGGTATTAAATAAACTAACTAAGTACATAGTTATGATGAGCAAGAGTGCATCTACCAAAATTGTGAATTTTATGGCCCCAGGGTCAGGGGTTCTTGTGTTAGGGCGGGGCTCTATTGATTATATAGTGAAAATGCATTATTCTTTGAAAATCTTCTTCTCTGCTTCTGGGTATTAAATAAACTAACTAAGTACATCATTAAATTGGTGCTTCATAACTTTAACACATTCCTGCCACTAGTTGGAATAGATTTACCCGGTAAGGCTGTCAAGTTTTTTTCTCATAAAAAAAAGGATTTTATGTAAGAAAAAAAATGTCTTATACATCCTGTTTTGCTCTTTCGATACCAAAGATATAATAGAAATAGCTTAGAAAAATGTATATGTAAATGATAATATTTTGTCTTCAGTACAGTGAAACAATTTTTCTGTTCAGTTTTTCAAATGGTGTAACCTTTAAGTAAAATTGGGGAAAAAATAATTTCAGAGTTGCCTGTGTGTTCACCTTTGATGCATGCTGTGTTGAAAACTCTGGAACGCTGGATGGATGTTTTACAAGGGAAGCTAGAATTATTTGCTGGACCTCCAGATGATTTTATTTCCAATCTTCAAGTGGACATTGTTCCAGGAAAGCCACATTCCAAGTTCAGAGCTCTTTTAAATCCTTCTAACTCACCCTTCATGTAAGTCTCTCTATTGTTTATAGAAAATTCATTTAGTTGTAGGTCCAGGAAAGTGTCATCATAACATCAGAAAATTATTTAACAAAATCGTGATCATTGTATGTGTATAAAAAAAAATAAATTTCAAGAAAAATGTAATTCTACAGTATGTGACTTTTAAGTCCTGCAAATTTATTACTGTTATACAATTTAATTTATATATGTATTTTTTTTACACATTGATTTCATTTCTCAAATATTTTGCTATTGAAATGAAAATTCTTGTCTTCAGAGATTCCCATTCCACATTGCCCATCAAAAGACTCTGGTTTCATCTCATCAAGCAGGAATGCCTAAAAGAAGTGTTCATTAGATATATATTTAGAAAGAAGATCAACCAATCAGGAGTAGGTTTATGGTTATTTTTAGACACATAATTGATGTTAATGATTTATCATATTTACATGTACGTACCCAGAAATTTAACAGATTCTGAAATAAAGAGTATAGTACATCTCAGAAAATTAAAAATAAAACAGGTCAAAAGATATAAAATATTTTTTTAAGTCTTGTTTATCAAGTAATTTTGTACATTGGCACTGTATCATTTTGACCTTTGAATTATCTCGCGTTATAATATGTACATCCTTTATGTCTTTTAAATTTGATTTCAAATAACAGGAGACAACAACTCCAGCTGACCTTGAGAATAATCTGAAGGTCAAGGAGCCAATGAAGATCATTCACAAAGAACAGGACATCATCTTAGCATTTGCTCTTAATCAGGTAGGTGGTCTCTTTGAAAACCCCACTTGGTTTCCTTTCTTAAAATGATTGCTGTGTGATTGATATAGCTATTTATTAATTTTATTGTTTCTGAGTGAAGTTCTAAATTATTTTCCACTATTTTTTTATGTCTTCATTTTGCAATGTGAAGTTTAGTTTTGAGTGTCTTGACTTTGTACGATTTTACATGTATTTTAGGAATACATGTAATTTGAATATTTTTTCTGTTAATTTATATTTGTGTCATTTTCTTACACACCTTTCATAATATGATATGCATTTTATTTAATTATTAATTGACATTCATAATAACATTCTTAGTCTGTCCTTTCTGTGGTGAGTGATATTAATGTATAACAGAAGTAGATATAAAAGCCTATACATGTACTATCAAGTTTGTTTGTAGCTTTAAGTCTTGTGGGTCTTGGGTGCTATGTCAATCTTAGGAGGGGAAGTTGGAATAGATTTCATCCAACTGATGAAATCAAAATCTATTGCTTAGCACATTACGTATTTGTATGAGATTTTGCACAGAAAAAAGAGAATCACAGTGCATTTTGTTCTTTTATAATATGTTTACCATTATTGTGTATACACTGCATATCCATGATTTGCAAGACAATTGTTTGCAACCTTCGGGTCTTGGGTAGCATCGTTTTGTTTTTTAATATTTTGTCTTGATTACTTATAGTTTTTGTTAGTATTATGTATTTATTCTTAATGCAGATCAGTGACTTTTATTGCTTGTTGTGCTTTTAGATAAATAATGAGTATTCTAACTCTGAACAGATGAGTAGATTCTTAAATGTAATTACAAAATCTATATTTTTATTATCAGCACAGACTTACTCCATCTAAAACTTACTTTGATATATCTAAATTGTAATCTACTTTGAGGTTCAGTTTAACTTTGATTCTTTTAATTTTCTGATCAATTTGCTCCAAGTATATCACAGTTGCATTCATAACTGCTGCATTGTACACTCTTTTATTTTGTTTTAAGTTTATATCAGTCTCACTAATTTACACTTTACTTTGAGTATATATGTATGTATATAAAGTTACTATCATATGTTGCAGTTTTGAGGCAATGTACATTGTACTTTTTCCTGCATTTCAATGATTTGAAACTGAATTCATTTAAAGTTGATTTTATGATGACTGTTCAATGCACATCTATAATATAATAAGTTCTACTTATTAATGAATTTTTCAGACTTATTGTTGGGAAAAAAATGAATGATTCAATTAACTAATATTTTCTTTCTTAAAAGATGATGTTTTAATTAAATATGATAAAATTTTTCTTGTAAATGAGTAAGCATGATATTTGACTGAAACAATTAACACTGCATTTTTCTTTACATGATTGATATTTTTATGTTTTTAGACAATTTTATTTTTATTTAGTTTAAACAAAGTGCACTGACTTTCATAAATATTACCATGTAGCCGAAAATCATTTGCATAAGTAAACATGGTGTTGGGTTAACCTTGTAGTGATCATACTAATTCCTGTAAATTTTACAGCAGACATTTTATCCAGTTCTACATGTAAGTTTATATACCACTAACATAACACTGGATCAGTCTTATTGAGGGAAGGGTTATTGGAGCACACCAGAACCCTCTTATTTAGGGAGGGGGTTATTTAAGCTCACCAAAGCCTTGTTGATAAAGCTCATTCAATATTTCTCAGTGTACTTTCAGGGTTGTTTTGTTACATTAAATAAAAAAAAAATGCAGTCTCAAGAAACGAAATCAACAATTATTAGCTCACCTGAGCCGAAGGCTCAAGTGAGCTTTTCTGATCAAAATTTGTCCGTCGTCTGTCGTTGTTGTCGTTGTCGTCGTGGTAAACTTTTCACATTTTCATTAAATTCAACCAAATTTTTTAAAAAAATAAAGGGCCACGCCCTTTTCCAAGGGGAGATAATCATGAATTAGCTAAAAATTAATGGCATTTTAAAAAAATCTTCTCCAGAACCGCTGGGCCAGGAAATATGAAACTCATGTGGAAGCATCCTCAGGTAGTGTAGATTCAAATTTGTTCAAATCATGACCCCCGGGGCAAGGGTGGGGCCAAAATGGCCGACCCAAGTTTTACATAGGAATATATAGGAAAAATATTTAAAAATCGTCTTCTCCAGAACCACAAGGCCAGGAAAGATGAAACTCATGTGGGATTATCCTCAGGTAGTGTAGATTCAAGTTTATTCAAATCATGACCCCCGGGGCAAGGGTTGGGCCAAAATGGCCGACCCAAGTTTTACATAGGAATATATAAGAAAAATCTTTAAAAATCTTCTTCTCCAGAACCACAAGGCCAGGAAATATGAAACTCATTGGAATCATCCTCAGGTAGTGTAGATTCAAGTTTGTTCAAATAAGCATTAAGTTTTATATAGGAATATATAAGAAAAATCTTTAAAAATAAACCATGAGAATTTGCCTGATTCAAATTTGGTGTGGCCAAAATGGCCGACCCAAGTTTTACATAGGAATATATAAGAAAAATCTTTAAAAATATTAAAATGTGGAATCATCCTGAAACAGTTTGTTCAAATCATGGCCCACGGGGCTAGGGTGGGGCCAAAATGGCCGACCCAAGTTTTACATAGGGATATATAGGGAAACTTTTTAAAATCTTCTTTTCAAGTACTTCAAAGCCTTTTTGGTTTAAAAAGTGTGCTAAGCCTCTTGTTTTAATAAATATTACAATTACATTTTAAATATTGGATTGTGGGTTTTTTTTCTTCTTTTCTCATTCTTCACTACAAAGAAAATTGGGTTTTCTCTTTTTTGTTTAGGTAGGATAATTTATTTCAGAACTTTTAGTTCTGTGACATTCTAAAATCAATAAGACAATGCCTTACTTGTATTTAAGAAAAAATAATTATACCAAAAGCATTTATTGCATTTTTCTATGAATATTTTTTTAACTTATAAAGAGATCATATTTAATTGATTTCATGTACACAGGATTTGTAAAACTGAAAAATTTATGCATAAAAGCATTAAGAAAGAATGCCAGGAGATTTTTTTTACTCTTTTTACATCATAAAAAGCACTGCAGCTTGAAATTAAGGTCTAAAGATTGCTTTATATTGAATTTCTTTTATTAATTGCATTGAACTAAAGTTCTTGAAAAGAATGGACTGTTGAAAGCAAAGAAAATATACCCTCCTAAATTTGGTATACTTTTAAAAATACAACTAGCTCATGAAATTAAATTTTCAGACTTTATTACAATGGATATTTAAGAAAAACAATGCACGTTGATAAATGATAGAAGGTCTGAATCTGATTATGATGAGTGTTTTTTGACTGTATTTTAGGCCAATGCTAACCTGCTGGCCCTGTCCACCCAGAAGGAGATAATAGAGCTGGACATTGGTCCTATACTGACCCCGCCCACCTGGCTGGAGGACGAGAACGAAATGGACATAGAGTATATCAAAAAGTAAACACCACATTACATCTAGTAGATATCTGTATATCAAAAAGTAAATACCACATAACATCTAGTAGATATCTGTATATCAAAAAGTAAATACATTATATCTAGTACATGTACCAGTAATTGTTTCCTACCAGTACTCAAAATTCTTCAGTAGATTTATATAAATACTGAAAAATTGTTATTTTAATTAACTAATGGAGCAGAAAACTTTTGAGATATCCAAGGATTGACAATACAGTGTCATGTATTTAGTTACAATTTGATTAAATAATGTGGACTTCAGGTCACAGCAGTATATCTATGATATTAGGATACCAGTGTTGGAGGTAATAAAGTTCAATTCTACTGTCCGTCGCTGGCGGTGAAGGGGTTGTATGCTTAAGGTGTACAAGCTAAGAGACATCGTAATAGAATAACAAAACTGAGACAAAGAATGAATTAGAAATAATGCATGAAAGATAATAGACTTGATGAGTCAATTTTAAATGTCCTTATTCATACAGATAACTTAGTAAAGAGGATGAAAAACTATCATGCATGAATTAGCATATTTTTTTTATGAATTACCTGTTAACAATTGAAATATCTCTCTTTTAGCCCAGCCCCTGCTGCACATGAGTCAGATTTCTTTGTGGTTCAGACACCGTCAGACACACAGACATCTCAGCACAGTTCAGCTGCCACTAGTCCCCACACCCCAGGGCAGGGTAACTGGCCAACAGGACGGGGCACCAATGTGGTAAGTCAAGGGTCAAAGGTCATACTTTAAATCTATTGATGTATTTGTATGTTTAACCATTTAATCACAGTATGGAGATATATAACAATTCATTTAAATGTGTATATATATCGTATATATGTAAGATATGTGTTACTTTTAGCTTTTCATGTTGCATATTATTCATATTTATTGATTTGTCTTGATAAACTGGTTGCAGAATGTTTAAAATAGGAAGGGAATTTCTGTGTGTGAAAAGCATAATACTCGGCATAAAGCATGCATTCAATGTCCTTTTCTGGATTTGTTTTTCATTTTTTACTGCTGATATTCTGTAAAGCCGTTATTAAAATCACATGCACATATTTATGGTTTAAGTTACCTTTCTGTCTTTCTCTCTTGTTCCGTCTGTCAGACAAGGGGGATAAACATCCCAGGGATAACCAATCCCCAAATATCCCAACAGATACATGACAGGAGTCATCGTCTACTGCGCGTGGTAAGACCAGTGTTGTCAGTGGTGTGCATAGCTTCCTTTACTGTTCAGTTCCATTTTGTACTTCCAAGCCAAGTCCTTTAAATTTAGTACCTTGATCTTTTATTATTTTCCTGATTTTTATTCCATGTTTGATGTAGTATTTGCATTATTTTTTGTGACGTACTGTACATATACATACATTGATGTATTTTAATTGTAGTGCATTCGCTTGATATGGAGTTGCTCACCTTGTTTGTGTAATCATGAATCTGTTCTGTAAAATCACATATTTTCGTAGGATCAAATTTCGTGGTTTGAGGAAAAAATATGGGTTTATGAGGAGTTTTGTGGATAAAGAATTGTTCAGTAATAATATATGTGAAAAATTACATTTCATGGTAGACATAAGTTTGTGGGTCTTACAAGCCAAAGTACATGTATATGTTAGTAAAAAAATCTCGACATAAGATATTTGAATTAATGACATAAGAGTTAGGTTGAAAAAATTTATTTTGATTTCTCTTGGCTACAAGCTCACAAAGTTGGTATAATTGATTCAAGAGTGTGCTTTGACTAATTATTTAAGAAATACAAGTATCATTTTATGCACAATATTATAATTTTCAGTGTAAAATGTTTTGCTAATCATTAGATAAAACAATTACATAAAGCCCGAAGGGCTTTATGGAAGATTTGATTATGTGCCAACCCGTTTTACATCCCAATAAAACTCAAAAAATGATAGGTTATTACTTACATTTACATTTGTGAGTTATTTATTACAAATAGTAAGGTACTTAACTTAAGTTTGAAACCCATAAAGTTTTTTTTTCAAAATTCAATGGTATAAATTGAATGTGTTTATAACGTTGATCGCTTATGACGTCACTATCAAACTATGTAAATCAATTATGACTAAACAATCGATTTTTGGTCACATGTCGAACTTGTTTTACGGAGATGTAAAAACGCCTTGTTCAAATAGTGTTATGTAAGGGAAAACATTTGCAAATGTAAATATTGTGAAATACAAGTAGTTTTATGCACAATATCTATAATTTTCAGTTAACCTCATGTTTTGCTAATCATTAAATAATCTAGTACATAAGTAGTGGGTAGATAGAAGTGTATTAGAAATACATAAAAGTTATATCTTATATTCATTCAATCATGTGTGACTGAAATTGAGGTTGTCTTAATGTGCATGCTTTTACTAAGATTATCATTATTTTTTGTAATACAGAATCAGTTTTGTTTAGATAAAACAGATGTTTTTTCAAACAAAAATCTGGTAATGAGTTGTTACATTACAGATCTTAAAGCGACCAGTGGCAGGAGTCAGAAGAATAGGTCCCCATCCCAATCTTCCTCACTGTAAGTAAACTGTCCCAATCTTCCTCATTATAAGTTTACTGTCATCCAAATCTTCCTCACTGTAAGTTAACTGTCCCAATCTTCCTCATTATAAGTTTACTGTCATCCAAATCTTCCTCACTGTAAGTTAACTGTCCCAATCTTCCTCACTGTAAGTTAACTGTCCCAATCTTCCTCACTGTAAGTTAGCTGTCCCTATCTTCCTCACAATAAGTTAACTGTCCCAATCTTCCTCACAATAAGTTAACTGTCCCAATCTTCCTCACTGTAAGTTAACTGTCCCAATCTTCCTCACAATAAGTTAACTGTCCCAATCTTCCTCACTGTAAGTTAACTGTCCTAATCTTCTTCACAATAAGTTAACTGTCCCAATCTTCCTCACAATAAGTTAATTGTCCCAGTCTTCCTCACTGTAAGTTTACTGTCCTAATCTTCATCACTGTAAGTTAACTGTTCAATCTTCCTCACTGTAAGTTAACTGTCCCAATCTTCCTCACAATAAGTTAACTGTCCTAATCTTCCTCACAATAAGTTAACTTTCCTAATCTTCCTCACTTTAAGTTAACTGTCCTAGTCTTCCTCACTTTAAATTAACTGTCCCAATCTTCCTCACAATAAGTTAACTGTCCTAATCTTCCTCACGATAAGTTAACTGTCCTAATCTTCCTCACTTTAAGTTAACTGTCCTAGTCTTCCTCACTTTAAATTAACTGTCCTAGTCTGTCCCAATCTTCCTCTCAATAAGTTAACTGTCCTAATCTTCCTCACAATAAGTTAACTGTCCCAATCTTCTTCACTGTAAGTTTACTGTCCCAAAGTTTACTGACCTAATCTTGCTCACTGTAAATTAGCTGGCCTAATCTTCCTCACTATAAGTTACAAGTAACTGTCTCCATCTTTGTCACTGTAACACTGTAAGTTATCTATATGACTGAGGATGTTTTCTGTGGCAGGAAAGCTAAAAGCTAAAGGGACCCACAGAACATTCTAAATTTATTTATTAATTGTTTACAAAAAATTATTTCTTTTGACTCAAAGTGTATCAAGGTTTCGGATTTTAATGATGTAAAAACTGAATTTTAATTGCACTTTTACAAAATTCTTTGCAATGAAGGTATTTTTTTTTTCTACTTTAAGATTTGACTGGCAGTGCAGATGGGAGTGTCAGACTGTATGAGTGGGGTCATATGCAGCCACTGGCAATGCTACGACAACCAGGGGCCTTCCCCAAAGTCACAAAGGTTTTGTTTAGTTCCCAGGGAAATAAGGTAAAAATTGAAAATCGTACAGATGATTTTCAGCTGATTAGCTTTGTTCTTTTGTTAAACACATTTCAGATGGAAAGGTTCTGGTAGCATGTTTCTTTTCAGTCTTGTATTTCAGTTTTAATCTGTAAACTATAAATTTGTTCCTGTTTTTTTGTTCCAGTGCTGTGTGAGTGACACTGAGGGAGATGTCTGTCTATGGCAAGTCGGTCTAGGCAGCAACTTCACCAAACCCATCCTGGTATGTACATCATGAATATCAAAATACAGTAAAACATGATCATAGCGAACATGCTTATTATGAGTTGACCCTTAAAGCGAAGTGATTTACAGTCCTCTTCTCTTTAAAATATATTTTTCACAATTATTGAACAATGAACAGATATAATGAATCACGCTTATACACAAAGCAAAATTGTCAGTCACTGGTACTTCTTTATAAACATGTTTTACTTTCAGATCTGTTAAAACTGTATCTGAATTCTGCAGACTCTGAGGTCTGCAAATAAAGTTTCATTAAAAGCAATTTTTGTTTTTCTTTATTTCATTCCTTTGGATTATTTACAGAGTTTGCGATGCCACAATAAGACAACCAGTGACTTTAGCTTTATTGGTTCCTCCAGTCTCATTGCCACAGCAGGCCACTCATCAGAGAGCAGAAATGTCTGTTTATGGGACACACTGCTGCCCCCTAGGAGTGCTTGTGTACATTGTGAGTATAAAAGGGGGTTAAAACTAAAAACAATTAGAAAAAACTGTTCCCTGTGATGGAAAACCTTAATACATAAAGTAAAATTCTGAGTAAAAATTCGCTGCCAATGTCTGATATTTTGTTTCAGAAATATTTTTCTTTTTTTAATCTAATTTTGTTTCTATTTGTTGGAAATATGAAAGTACAGTGTAAATGTGAAATGTGTGGAATTTTTGTCATGAGTTAATCACCTACTTTCTGTAACTAGCATTCATCTGTCATGAACATGGCTGTCCAGCCATTGTATATGCACCACATCACCAGCTTTTAATATCTGGAGGACGAAAAGGAGAAGTTTGTATTTTTGACATCCGTCAGCGACAGCTTAGACACACCTTCCAAGCACATGACGTACCAATCAGATGTCTAGCCATGGACCCTGAGGAGGAGTACTTTGTCACCGGGTCTGCTGAGGGAGATATTAAGGTCAGTAACCAAATGTTTTCTTCTTCAAAAATTTATTTCAATGAGAAAATTCTTTAGTCTTCTGTCTATATGTCTGGGGTCAGCCTGCTTTGATCATGTGGCAGGATGGATTGATGGAGCTCTTGGCTAGTAATCCAGGGGGACTGGATTCAAATCCTGGTCTGGTCCTTGCAGCATTCTATTTTCCCCTTTCCTGTTACATTTGGTGTTGTTCTGTGCCCTGGAAGTGTCAGGTGAACAACCTGCCAGAGAAGAGTTTGGGTTGGTGTCTTTGGGGAGGGTGGCTGGTAGATGAGAACTTAAAGGAGGGAGGATTAGCAATTAGGAAGGTTCAATCTAAATGGGGGTCAAATGGTGGAGTACCTGGGGCCCGTTTTACAAAAGAAATTATGACTAAGAGCAAAAACTTCAGGTTATTGTAAAACTTTGCAAAGTTAATTATTCTCTTTGAAATTGTTTGTGTAAACCTTTTAAAAAGTTGAAAATTATTTTTGATATAATATTAATTAAAAAGTTATATGAAGAATTAAATTTGGTCTCAAGTCGTAAGTCCTTTTGTAAAACGGGCCCCTGCCTATTGTCTTTGGGTCCTGGGTTTAAATCCTGGTCTGCTCTATTGCATTTTTTCTCCTTCCCTGTTACATATCTGAACATTTTATTTTCATATCTCATGCAACAGGGTTATAAAAGAAAAAATATACTGAAAGAACCATTATATGTACACATAATTTATGACTTTTGATATTTTTCAGGTCTGGGGTTTGGATGTTCATCAGCTGGTCGTCAATTTCCCAGGAGAACACAGTAAAAGTACATTTTTTAAGAACATTGGTTCCACCTCAGGTGTAACACAGGTAGCCATTGGTCCAGAACATAATCTGTTTTCTTGTGGAATTGATGGATCCATGAAGTTCCGATCACTACCGGAGAGAGAAACAATGGTGCGGTATTGGACAGCATAATTATTTATTTTAGTGTAGGGCAGATGTGGCATGCTTATTGAAATAGCTTACTATGAATGATCACATTCTGTATTTCATGTTAAAGTGGATTCTGAGATACAATTGTGCTAGCTTTCAACCACTCTATAAGACTGAGATAATCTAATTGTGTTCAACAGAAAGCTTGCAATCACTGTTTTGAAGGACTTTTATTTATTTTTTGGAATTCTTTATTTTGTGCCATTGATTTGAATTTTAGTTATTATTTTGTTAAAAGTCCCTGAACACATTCTGTGATTGGTAAATGTAAGTTAATATGGATCAGAGTTTGAAATGTATTTCAGTAGTATATGTATGTGTAACGTTATAAATGTATGACTATTGTATGTCCATAAGCTTATTTTTAAAATCCCACCCCGGATGACCTCAAGAGAGTGGCCACCATTTTGTCAATATGTACAAAGACAACAAAAATATTAAACACTGCTGTTTTCAGATGGGAACTTAATTTAAATGATTCCTTTCTTAAATGTGATATTTATGTGGCATTGATGTCTACCTTGTTCCAGGTATGTCATAGTTAAGTGTGTGTGCATTAGGAGAGTGCAGATGTACTGTTGTTCATTCTAGTCTTGTCTATTTATAGAAAATAAACGTAATCATGCTAATGATTATAAATGATAATCTACCTTGTAAACAGAAATATTTATATTGTCAGATTTTCTGATGTAATTTTTTTGTCCGATTCAATGCTATCATATCCAATAACATTCCTTTATTGTTGAATTTATACTTGAAATAACCTCTACTAATTTTATTTTAGTCTGAATTGTTATTTACTTGTAACATTTAATGATTATGGGGTATACATGTAAGTTCAATACAGTCTATTGGTTTGTTAACTCATTAATATACCGGGTATTATACATAAATATTGTACTACCACTAAAAAAATGGAGAAAAGCTTTTGAAGAGCATTCAGTACCTTCTGGGTATGGGATTATGAAATCTATTTATTTGTAGATTATTCTAGCTCATTGTATTAGTAAGATTTAGGAGGAAGCAAGCACTATTCTAGGTATACCTTATTTGTTGTTGAATATTTCTTCTACAGGCAAAAATTAAAAGTATAACAGTATCATACATTCTGAACAACATATTTCAAAGTAGAAATATTTTAGTCAAGTATAAATGTCTTTTTTATATTTTTGTCACTGTGGACGCTCTTGATTGATAAAATTAGAAAATTCGTAAAGATCTTTATTAAAATATTTGTTGATATATCAAACTGAAGTTAAGGTAGTTTTATTAGTAGTACAATCTATTATTGGTATGAGTAATAGCTATGTGTAGTACTCTTGTGTCATATGTCTGTTGGTATTGTGTGCTATTTGTTATCTTTTGTCTTTTTATTTTGTTGATAATAAGCTGTTGGTCTGTGATCATATGTAGATAACTATATATAAATTGTTTTCTTGGAAATTGCATTAAAACATCAGAAACTTATTTTACGTGTTCCCTTCTTTAGAAATCTTATTTTAGTACATGTATTTATTGCTTGATTGGTGGATTTAAGAAATCACTAATCTGACTTCAGTGGATGTTGAATGGATTTAAATGTAACAAGTTTTACTTAATACCAAGTTGGAAACTCAAGTGAATCTATACGTAGACCAGAGTATTTTTGTATGTACAAGGTTTTTTTTGGTTGAGTTTCATCACTGTGCAGCTGTATTATCGAGCAGTTCACTGAGGGTGAAATTACTTGTTTTAGCTCACTTGAGCTGAAAGTTCAAGTGAGCTATTCTGATCACAATTTGTCTGTAGTCCATCTGTCTGTCTGCCGGTCCGTGTGACTTTTCACATTTTCGACTTCTTCTCCAGAACCATTGGGCCAATTTCAACCAAACTTGCCATTTAAGCATCCTTGGGTGAAGGGGATTTAAGTTTGTTCAAATGTAGGGCCGTGCCATCATTCCAGGGGAGATACTTAAGAAATAATGAAAATTTGGCAGCATGTTTTAAAAATCTTCTCCTCAAGAACCTCGGGGTCTGGAAAGATGAAACTAAATTGGAAGCATCCTCAAATAGTGTAGATTCAAGTTTGGTCAAATCATGACCTCCGGGGGTAGGATGGGGCCACAATGGATGATCAAATTTTACATAGAAATATATAGGTAAAATCTTTTTAAAAAATCTCAGAAACGACAAAGTCATGATTAATCATATTTATGTGGAAGCATTCTCAGGTAGTGAAGATACAAATCTGTTCAAATCATGACCCCCAAAGAATCTTGAGTTTTAAAAAAATCTTTAATTTTTCTTTAGAAACAAAGGTTTTCTATCTTATTACAAATGTCTTTCTTTTCTTTCTTGTCAGCAGAAATCTTTTCCAGCAGCCTACATCAAATAAAAAAAAAATAGTTTAATAGACAAATTAAACATAGATTAATTAATATGATAGTTATTCATTAAAACTTTCAATATAATAATATATATATATCTATCTATAATAGCTAACATGTGTTTGTTTTCAAGGTAGGAAAAATTCACAACAACATGATAATTTTTCTTAGGTTGCTTTCATTCAATTTCTAAAAACAAAATACAGAAAAGAATTTGATTCATATATAGGATTTATCAAATCAGGGAGAGGCCATTAGAATAAAATGAATATTTGTACAGTGTTTACAATTTATGGAAAAAAAGAAAGAAAGCTAAAGGGGCTAGGAACAGATTCTACATGAAATAGAAAACCAAAGAAATTTTGATTAAGTTTAATTATACCTTAAAATAATCTATATGGAAAAAGAACAGTTTCCTTGGACCAAACCAACCATTTTCATCATCATCATCATCATCATCATTGTCTCTGTTGTCATCACCATAACCATCCTCAATCAAAGGCTGAAAAGATAGAGAGAAGGAATTGTAAATTATAATCATATCTATGTTACTCATACCCTTCAGAAGGTATGAATGGGTCAACATTAATTGAATGAGAATGTTTCAACTCTTATAAGTTATTTCATTTTATGTTACCTTCAACGTTTTCTCCTGACCCTGAGATACTTCTTGCTTATGGATGACTGGTATATCAACACTTTCATTACACACACAGGGTCTCTCTCCTGACAAATCTAAATTACATGGTGATATCTCCTCTGGCAAATTTTCATCACAATCAGATAATGTTTCTGATGACAAATCCTCATTAAATGCAGAAGTCTTTCCTCCTGATAATTTTTCATCATTTACAATTGACTTCTCTCCTGACAAATCTTCATCAAACATCTCGGACAATTGTACATCAAATTTAGTTGAATTTTCTTTAAAAAAATTCTCATCACATGGAGTTGTCTTATTTCCTGATATGTCATCACACGCAATTGACTTCATTTCTAATAATTCTTCATCAAATATTGGCATCTCCTCCAACAAAACTTCATCATATGCAGTTGCCTTTTCTTTGGAAAATCTCTCATCACACACTATTGACTTTTCCTCTGGCAATTCATTCAATACAGTTGGTTTCTCTGTTGACTTATCTTCATCACATGCTGTTGAAATATCCTTTGACACAGCATCATCACATGCTGGCATCTTCTCTGTTGACATACCCTTTGACACAGCATCATCACATGCTGGTGACTTTTCTGTTGACATATCCTTTGACACAGCATCGTCACATGCTGGCGACTTCTCTGTTGACATATCCTTTGACACAGCATCGTCACATTCTGGCGACTTCTCTGTTGACATATCCTTTGACACAGCATCGTCATATGCTGGCGACTTCTCTGTTGACATATCCTTTGACACGGCATCGTCACATGCTATACTTCTCTGTTGACATATCCTTTGACACAGCATCGTCACATGCTGGCGACTTCTCTGTTGACATATCCTTTGACACAGCATCTTCACATGCTGGCGACTTCTCTGTTGACATATCCTTTGACACAGCATCATCACATGCTGGCGACTTCTCTGTTGACATATCCTTTGACACAGCATCGTCACATGCTGGCGACTTCTCTGTTGACATATCCTTTGACACAGCATCATCACATGCTGGTGACTTCTCTGTTGACATATCTTTATCACATGCTGAGGTCATAGCCTCTGACATTTCATCATGTACTGGTGATTTTTCTGCAGACATGTCTTCATCACATACTGGTGTTATATCCTCTGACACATTATCATTTACCGGTGACTTTTCAGCTGATATATCTTCATCACATACTGATGTTATATCCTCTGGATAATCTTCAACTAATAGTGGGGATTTTTCTGCTAACTTTTCTTCATCACATGCTGCTGGTGCCATATCCTCTGACACATGGTCGTTTACTGTTGACTTTTCTTCTGACATTTCTGCATTACATGCTGGTCTCATATCCTCTGAAATATCATTTTTTGGTGACTTCTCTACTGAAATTTCTTCATCACATACTTTAGACTTGTCTGCTGACCTATCTTCACATGCTGGTGTCATATCCTCTGACATATTATTTACTGGTAATTTCACTGCTAGAGTATCCCCATTACACACTGGTGTCATATCCTCTGACATATCTGTTGACTTTTCATCATCACGTGCTGGTGTTCTATCTTTTGATACATCATCATCACATACTGGTGTCTTCTCTGTTGGCATATCTTCATCACATGCTGATGGGGTCATATCCTCTGACAAATCGTCATCACAAAGTGGTGGTTTTTCTGCTGACTTTTCTTCATCACATACTGGTATTAAATCCTCTGATATTTCTCCATCACATGCTGGTGACTTCTCTGCTGACATATCTTCACATGCTGGAGGCATCTCTTCTGACACAGCATCATGTAATGGTGTCATATCCTCTGACATATCTTCAACACAAGCTGGTGACTCCTTTGCTGACATATCTTCATCACAGGTTGATGACCTCTCCACTGACACAGCATCATATACCTGTGACATCTCCTCTGATAATTCTCCATTACAGGCAGTGTCCTTTGCTGCCAACAGTTTTTTATCAATAGCAGTTGCCTTTTCTCCCGAAGAATCTTCATTCGTCTTCTCTCCTAACAAATCTTTTGGTGACATAATCTCTGACAAAACTTGTTTGGAAATTTCTGTAATGGAGGACAATTTATCTCCAGATGCTTTTCCTGCACATGTATCTCCTTCAATCATGTGTCTGGTGGATTCAATAGCCTAGAAAAAAGAACAAAAGACTTAATTTTGTTAGGATTGCATAGTAGTTACGCTTTTTTTTAAAAATAATACTTTATGAGTTTTGTTTTGAATTCATTGTTGAAATCAAATTTGAATATAAATTAAGAAATTATTACATTATTACATACAAATGCAAAAAAAAAATAATGTAACTAGAAGATATTTTACCTCCTGTTTCATTTTCTGGTATTTTTTCATATGGGACTTTTCATGCTTCCTTGTTTTGTAGTGATTAGTTTTTCTGTTTCCCAGTTGTTTTCTATAAATAATATCAAATACCGAGTATTAAATATTTTATAAAGTGTGCTATTACTATGAAATATTGATACATAAACCTTTTCTAATGATGTGTTTAGGACAGTTTTTGCACCACACCTGCTATCTCTCTTTTCTCCCCCTTCAATTTCTTTTTCTAATTTCTTCATCTCATTCTGCTGCTTTTGTTCTTGCTAATAAAATACAGAAGGGATATCACTTTGTATTATTCTGGAATGTATAGCATCTTTTTTTTTGGTCAACATGCAAATAACTTAGGTTCATCCTATACATTTAAGTAAGAAATAAACATGTACCTCCATGCGTCTTTCCTCTTCCTCAACTGCATCTGACCAGTTGTAATTGAATTTAAGGATCTCTAGTTTCGTGTCCTGAAAATAAAACCCCATACTTTTTTAAAACAGATTCATGGAACACAGAGCATTTTACAATGGGGGGATTGTCAGAATGTAAGACAAAATCAAGCTTTTGTTGATTAAAAACACATCTATTAGTAGCGTTAAGTGTGGTTGGTCCACATCTTACATGAATAAAATTATTTTGTTACAATATATACATATGTATTGCTGACATAATACATTGTTATGTATAAATTTTATATTACTGCATGATATAAATCAGGATTACTGGGTGATTATTCAGCATCTACAAGTATATCATGGAACGGATCTTACCACATCTGTGACAGGATTCTCCCCAAAATCTAGAATGGCATTGTAGTCCATGGTTTTAATTCTACAAAAAGAAAATATATTGTCATAAACTTATACTTAAAAAAATCATGTAGGTATATAAAAATAAACTGAGTAAAGAAATCTGTGTGACTTTTACTGTGTTTTGTACATTTTTAATAGTGATGACTATTACGTCACGCTAATTGTTGCGTTTTAGTTACTATGACGTAAAGTTCTGGTAAATACTGCACATTTTTATATCATAATAATGTGATATTTTTTTAATCCCCTGTCTACTTTTTGATTTTAGTTTTGAAAGGAGGCGCTAGCAGCCAGTTTCAAAATGAAGGGGCAAATTATGTACAATACCTGTTGTAATTTTTGTTGCGATCTTTTTTCTCTTCCCCATTAATTTCTTTTTCTATTAACTTCTTCTTAGTTTCTCTTTGCTGCTTTTGTTCCTCCTGTTATATAAAAATACATTTTGTTAGCAATTAATATATTACTATGAATTAATCAGTATTTTATATTAGCTTTTATTTAAAAAAAACAATTATCAACTGTATTACAGTATAATTAATTTAAATTCCTTATGTAGCTTAATTGAAATAAAAGTTTACATTAATAATTTATATTTATACCTCCATACGTCTTTCCTCTTCCTCAACTGCGTCTGACCAGTTGTAATTGAATTTAAGGATCTCTAGTTTTGTATCCTGAAAAAAAACCCACACACTTGAAAAACATATTCATGGAAGCACAGAGCATTTTAAAATAGGGGGTTATTACAATAGAAGACAACATGAAGCCTTTTTTGATTGAAAATGCACATGAGCGTGGTTGGTCTCCATCTTAGATGAAAAATAAAATTACTCTGCAACACAATATACATTTGCATTGCTTATGTTATAGTTTATATTACTGAATGATATAAACTAGGGTGACTGGGTGATTATTCAGCATCTACAAGGATCTTACCACATCTGTGACAGGATTCTCCCCAAAATCCAAAACAGCATTGTAGTCCATGGTTTTTAGTCTACAAAAAGAAAATATATTGTCATACTTACTTAAATTTAAAAAAATATTGCAGTAATTTCATATGATCTAAACAAACTGAGTAGAGAAATCTGTGTGACTTTTACCTCCGTGTTTTGTAGTTCTTTTCGAATTTTGTTGTAGTGATGACTATTACGTCACGCTCATTGTTGCGTTTTAGTAACTATGACGTCACTGGTTAATACCTCACATTTTTGTCTCATAATATTTTTATGCAGATAATACAAATTCTCTATTTGCTTTTTAAATTTATTTTGGAATGGGGCACTAGTAGCCAATTTCAAAATGAAGGGGCAAATTAAAAGTGATCAATACAGAAGCAAGGCAAACGTTCTCTTCAAATCAAAGATCTAGTAAATTAGAAAATCACGAAAAGTTAAAAAAAATTGTCCCCTACTGCTTTTCTGTTGTGATACTCAGGAAAGAATGAACATGTTGCATCTATACAAAATAGAAATAATAATAAAACAATAGCAGTTTTATCAATAGTGCTAATTTGGACAGATATTGTACAATACCTGTTGTGATTTTTGTCGCGATCTTTCTTCTCCTCCCCTTTAATTTCTTTTTCTAACTTCTTCGTTTCTCTTTGCTGCTTTTTTTCCTCCTATATATTAAAATACATTTTGTTAGCAATTTATATCACCATGAACTAGTCAGTATTGTATATAAGGTTTTATTTTAAAAAAAAAATTATCAACCGTATAGTTAATTGAAATTCATTATGTAGCTTAATTAAAATAAAAGAATAATATTTATTAACAAAGTAAGCTTAATTCAAGTATACATTAATAATTTACATCTGTACCTCAGTACGTTTTTCCTGCTCTTCAACTGCGTCAGACCACTTATAACTGAATTTTAAGATATCTAGTTTTGTGTCCTAAAAAGCAATGAAATATTAAATTAATACAAAATAGATATGTGGAAGCATATTTCACAAAGAAAGTGTTGAGTAAAGTATCTCGCTTTAAAAAATCTAAGACCAAATGAGGCATTTTAATTCGAAATAAAATCATACGGATATAGACGCTCTCCATTTTAATTGTATATACTAATACTGCTTACAGATACTTTATTTGTTACATGACGACTAAGATGATGGTGCCTTTACAGCATCCATATATGGAACTATAAGCTTACCACATCTGTGACAGGGTTCTTTCCGAAATCTAGAATTTCATTGCAGTCCATGGTTTTCATTCTAGAAAAATAAAGGACTTTGCGTCAAAATAAATTAAAATGTATTTAAAATTATTTAGTATCAGTCTGTCCTTTTACAAGAAATCTGAAAGAAATGAATATAAATTTACCTCCGTGTTTTTCCCAATGTTTGTTGTAGTGATGATTATGACTTTACACTCATTGTTGCGTTTTAGTATCTATGACGTCAAAGGTAGATGCATTCTTTACAGTGGCCTTTCTTGGCCGAAATAATTTCTTCAGTAACAAATTTAACACTGATTTTATTATAATTAAGTCGGGGTATTTTTTTTAAAACTGATTCTGATAACTTATTCTATAATAAAAATCAAGCCGCGTACTGTGACACTAAAACACTAATTTAAAGTAGATCTTTCATTTGTTCCATTATTTTTTATATGTTGAGATCGATCGATCGATCGAGAGAGAGAGAGAGAGGGAGGGAGAGAGAGACATTATTACTTTCGGTCTGTCTGTTCGTCCCTCTCTAGTTCTGTCTGAAAAGCTTTCGTTTCCACGCGATATCTCCAGAAGTTTGTGAGTTTTTGCAATGAAATTTTACAAAATAATTCCCGATGACTTAAGAAAGATCCCCATTGATTTTTAGGTTCAAATGTTAAAGGTCAAGGTAACAAATAAAAAAAAAATCTGTTTTAACACTTTCGTTTCAATGCGATATCTCAAGAAACCTTTGAGCTTTTGCAATGAAATTTCACACAACGGCTCCCTATCAAAGATCCATATTGATTTTGAGGTCAGAATGTCAAAGGTCAAGTTCATAAATTAAAAAAACTTCTGTCTATGTGTTTCCATGCAATATCCCAAGAAACCTATGAGCTTAAAGAAGACCCCTATTTATTTTGGGATCAAAGGTCAAGGTCGTAAATTCATACATTTTGTGTGTGTGTAAAACTCAGTTTCATTTTCGGACGATATCTAAAGAAGCTTTTGAGTTGCAATTAAATTTTATTCATACCATGATGGTAACTCCATATGCCCGCCAATATGTCCGTTCCTCCGTATGGCCGTTTTTCTGTCTGTAACACTTTAGTTTCCAAGCGATATTTCGAGAAGCCTATTCCGAAGTATCTGGCGTTTTCCAGGCTTTTTAGGTCACCTGAGTAACCCAGGTGACCTATTGCTATCCGTTTTTTGTCCGTCGTCGTCCGTCGTGCGTCGTGTGTTAACATTTGAACATTTTCAGCTTCTTCTCTGAAACCACTGAACCAATTTCAACCAAATTTGGTATACAGCATCTATGGGTGAAGGAAAACAAAATTTGTGAATTTTAAGGCCCCCCCTGGGGCCTGAGGGGTGGGGCCAAACCACCAAAATTATTGCAATTTTAAAAATCTTCTTCTTTACTCCTGGACATCAAGCAGGCAAACTGTTGGCATGAATGTAATAAGCATCAAGTCCTCTACCAAAATTGTGAAATTCATGGCCCCTGGGTCAGGGGTTCTTGTGCTAGGGCGGGGCTATATAGATTATGTAGTGAAAATGCATTATGTCTTTGAAAATCTTCTTCTCTTGGGTATTAAGTAAACTAACTAAGTACATAGTAATGTTGAAAAAGAGTGCCAATTCCAAAATTGCGAATTTTATGGCCCCAGGGTCAGGGGCTCTGGTGTTAGGGCTGGGCTCTATTGATCATATAAATGCATTAATTCTTTGAAAATCTTCTTCTCTGCTTCTGGGTATTAAATTATTAAATATACTAACTAATTACATAGTTATGATGAGAAAGAGTGCTTCTTCCAAAATTGTGAATTCTATGGCCCCAGGGTCAGGGGTTCCGGTGTTAGGGCGGGACTCTATTGATTAAATGGTGAAAATGCATTATTCTTTGAAAATCTTTTCCTTTGCTCCCGGGTTTTATGCCAATGATCCAAGTATATATTTATGATAAAGAAAGGTGCATCTAGTAAAATGGTTATTTTTTATGCCCCCTGGGTCGGGGGGGGGGGTTACATAGTCTGAAAATAAATTAATGCTTTGAAATTTACTCTTTAGTATGAATCAACCATTTTATGATAAATTTGCAAAAGTTGGAAATATGTTGCCCCTGGGTCAGTGGTTCCTTTGGGGTGACGTGCACAACTGGTTATAGAGAGGAAAAGCATTTTCTCTTTGTTACTCTGATCTACCTCTGGGTATTAAGTACATAGAGTTAACATGCTAAGTTTATAATTATGATAAGCAATGGTGCCTCTTTCAAAATTGTGAATTGTGAATTTCATGGCCTCTGGTTTAAAACACAAACCAATTTTAATTGTTTGAAAGTTGTTACTCAATACTCAGGTGACCTATAAGGCACGTGGGCCTCTCTCTCTCTCTCTTTTTTTTTTTTTTTTTTTTTTTTTAAAGGCCATATATCAAAATCTACTTCAGAGCTGACTTAAATTGATGGTTTGTTAAAAAAACCTGCGATATTTTACCTATTATAAGGACTATGATTATCAAACCTTGTCAGTTGATACATGATTCATGCTGATGTACTTGTTAGCTCAACTAAGCCGAAGGCTCAAGTGAGCTTTTCTGATCACATTTTGTCCGCCATCTATCGATCTGTAAACTTTTCACATTTTCGACTTCTCCTCAAGAACCACTGAGCTAATTTATACCAAACTTGGTACAAAGCATCCTTAGGTGAAGGGGAGTTTAAATTATTAAAAAAGGGACCGAGTCCTGTCATTAGGAGGGATAATCAAGATAAGACAAAAATAGGGTGGGATCTTTAAACAAGAGGCATATGGGCCACATCGCTCACCTGAACACTGAAAAGTTTAAATCCAAAAGTAGTCCCATGACCAATCATAGCTTTGCGATTCTCGAGAAGATGATTTTTAAAGAATTTTTCTATATATTTCTATGTAAAATTTTGGTCGGCCATTGTGGCCCCGCCCTACCCCCGGGGGTCATGATTTGAACAAACTTGAATCTACACTACCTGAGGATGCTTCCATATAAATTTGATCAAATATGGCTTTGCTATTCTTGAGAAGAAGATTTTTAAAGAATTTTCCTATATATTTCTATGTAAAACTTTGGTCGGCCATTGTGGCCCCGCCCTACCCCCGGGGGTCATGATTTGAACAAACTTGAATCTACACTACCTGAGGATGCTTCCATATAAATATGATCAATTATGGCTTTGCTATTCTAGAGAAGAAGACTTTTAAAGAATTTTCCTATATATTTCTATGTAAAACTTTGGTTGGCCATTGTGGCCCCGCCCTACCCCCGGAGGTCATGATTTGAACAAACTTGAATCTACACTACCTGAGGATGTTTTTCCATAATTTTCATCTTTCCTGGCACAGTGGTTCTTGAGAAGAAGATTTTTAAAGCATACCACCAAATTTTCATTAATTCCCAATTATCTCCCCTTGAATGAGGGCGTGGCCATTGATTTGAATCCCCTTTACCCAAGGATGCTTTGTGGCAAGTTTGGTTGAAATTGGGACAGCGGTTCTTGAGAAGAAGTTGAAAATGTGAAAAGTTTACAGACAGACAGACGGACAGACAGCTAGACAAACGGACGCCGGACAAAATGTGATCAGAAAAGTTCACTTGAGCCTTCGGCTCAGGTGAGCTAAAATGTAGATTCTAAATTGTTCAAATCATGGCTCCCGGGGGTTGGGAAGTGCTACAATATAGGTAATCAAAGTTTAACTTTGATTACTTTAAAAACACTTTAAATTTAAATTACTTTAAAAAACTTTAAAAATCTTCTTGTTAAGAACCAATGGGCCAGAAAAGCTGAAATTTTTGTGGAAGCATTCTGGAGTAGTGTAAAATCTATATTGCGCAAATCATGACCCCAGAGAGTTTGATGAAGCCACAACAAGGAATCAAAAAATTACATAGAAATATATTGGAAAAAACTTCTAAAAAATCTTCTCAAAAACCACTGGGCCAGAAAAGCTAAAACTTATGTGAAAGCATCTTTGGGAAGCGTAGATTCTCATTTGTTCAAATCATGACCCCCAGGGGTTGGGCGGGGCTACAATAGGGAATTAAAGTTTTACATACAAATACACATGTATAGGAAAAAACATTACAAATCTTCTTCTCAAAAACCACTGGGCCAGAAAAACTAAAACTTAAGTGAAAGCATCCTTGGGTAGAACAGATTCTAAATTGTTCAATTCATTACCCCCGGTGGTAGTGCGGGGCCATAATTTTGAATCCAAGTTTGACATGGAAATGTATAGGAATTTCTTTTTAAAATTCTTCTCAGAAACTATTGGGCCAGAAAAGCTGAAACTTATGTGAAAGCATCGTGGGGTAGTGTAGATTTTAAATTGTCCAGATTTGATGGTCTGACCCATGGGGTCACAATAGGTATTACAAAGGGGGAATCTGGTAAAGAACAGCATGGTAAAAGGAATTCAGGTGAGCAATGTGGCCCTTGGCCCTCTTGTTTAAATTTTGCAGGTATTAATTTTCAGATTAATTTTAATGCATATCTTGGACAATATGATGCCACTAGCTGATATTCAAAACTTGTCAGCTGATGCATCTCGGTGTGTCAACCAAAAGTTTGGTCATTATGAACCATTTTGTGAATTTTATGAATAATCTTGTTCTATAACATTTAGCTCATCATTTTGCATGCTGAGGTTTACAATCGTTCAACCTTGTAAGTTATTCCATCACAGTTACTCAGTTGATAAAGAGTTTGCTCCCTGATCAGATGGTCCTGGGTTTAATCCCTGGAAGCAACTGACCTAAGTTGATAACCAGAAGTCTCTATCGAGACTGTAGCTCTACTGGTTTATACTTATAGCAAAGGAAGAGAAAAGTTGCAGTTGGGACTTGAAACTTTAAAACAGCAATAAATAGAATAATGATCCTGCTTGATAAAGTCTTTTGGTGGCAATATTGCAATAAGACTACAGCTGTAGGAGCAGCTTTTAATAAAACTTTCAAAGAATTTTCAATTTTAGTTACCATAGCAACACTGTTCATTGAAATAAATAACAAAACAAGAGGCCCATGGGCCACATCGCTCACCTGAGAAGCTTTGACCATTCTGTTCTTTACCAGATTTTCCCCTTGTAATAAATAATGCATCCCCACCCTACCACACTGATCATGATTTATACATTTTGAAATCTACACTATCCAGGAATCCTTCCATGTGCAC